TTAATTCGTAGCAGAATGTTCTACAGCAACTTGCAGAAGTCTCTTACACGTCCTACAACGCGTGCACAATAATTGGGCTTCATCAATGAGTGAGTGGCAAAAGCTCGTAAATGTGCTAAGAGGTTAGTCCAAGAATGGCTTCTGAAAAGGCATGAAGTCAAGAAATCAGTTTTCTAACAGCAGCACTTTCCACGCCACAACAATGAATTCCAACAGCTTTCAAATAATGTGAGAGTCGTTCCAGCGGCTATCACGGCAAAAAATGATAGGAGTGCGTTCAACTTCATGTGAGTCAAGATGCAAACATGATAGTGACCATGAGAGATAATGCTACTACAGCGACAGTGAACGACGGAGTGCAGTAACGGATGTGAAAACCAAAGTGCCCTCCCATACCCTCTGAGGAGATCAAAGCTACAGCAAAGGTTTTAAGCCAACAAAAGAACGAAAAAAGAAATGAAATTAAATTAAAATTTAATTGCGTAATAACTTCGTAAAATAAATAAAAAATTTAATTAAATTAAAAGAAATGCAATGTGAAAGAGGATGTGTGATCAAGGAAGAATGAGCGAGGCAGAAGAGAAATTCTGGAATAAATTCAATTCTCTTGAAAAAATTGGACCGTGTTTGAGAACTTTTTAAAAATTTTCAAAGATTGGACTGTGTTTGAAAATTCAGCTATGCTTACACACTACGACCTCTCTGATCTTAAGATCCATACAAGCAGGATGAAGGAGGCAAACAGTACACGATGTTGAGAAGAGTTTTCAGGGTCGTGTGCTGCTGAGTGTTGAAAAAATACAGAGTTAGGCTCAGTGAACGAGATATGACATTTACGGGAGGGCGAAAGGGAGAGGAACGAGCCATTTTTTCCAACATAACCGTTGAAATGATCAAGCTTTATCGATCTGTGCTTGGATGATTCCATCCGCGAAATTAAAAACACTCTTTCACCATCAAGAAGTTATAATGGCCTCTTTATGGAAAACAGCAGTTGCCATGAAAACATGATATCGTCGTGAGCCTCCTCGAGCGCATCTGCGAGAAATAGCGACCTCATATTCTGACGACTATAAAGAAACTCGAAGAGCGCTCTCTAGTACCTAATATTAATATTATTTTTCCCCTAGAAACATTTGTCTGTTTCTTCTTTCAGGGAGATAGCCAAGCGCGAAATGACCTTTTTGCCCTCCTATATGTACATGAAGTCAAGCTCAAGCCACGTTAGAATGTAAGACCACACTTTGAAAACTTTAAATGTGAGTATGCAAAAAAAGAAACGCAACGAATCCGAAGTTCATGAAGATTCTAAGACAGTGAGCAAAATAACTGCGAAAAAATCCGCGGATAGGACGACAAAATTGTATATTATTGCATGTGATGAGTAATTGCGAAGCACTCACGCTGTGTTATGCGATGGCATGACAAAAAAATTCCAGTAAGATTTCAGGATAGGATAAAGCCAGTAAAAGTTCGTAATTTTGAATGATAAACAATGACGAACGAAGATGGAAAAAAATAAATACGACGACCGCACAGATTTTGACCAACCTTTTATAATCGTGGCGGTATACTTGTCTCGTTCAGCATGTAAGTACGATAGTTATTGGCACGAAAATGGTCATCAGAAATGAGAAAACGCCGCTTTTCAATCTGAAAAATATCTGTCGAAAACCAGGAATGGTTTCTTGTGGTACTCTGAAGTAAAAGGTTAACGGAGGAAGTCAAAAAAAATGAGGAATCAGAATGAGGCTGAATTACGACCGAGCGCGAACAAAATGCCATAATTAAAACGCCATCAGCAGGAACAACTTATATATCATAGTACGTACACTTTAGTATGAGCGCCAAAACTCCAGAAAATGATTTAAAAAAGTAAAATCATGCGAACTACGTGTTCCACGCTCTCTAGAGATACCGTAGTGAGTTGGAGTCCTGAAAACGTGGTCGCTACGTTTATTTCATCTTTTACAAGTGAAGACGCCTTAAGACAAAGTAGACCTGTTTGCAATGCCATGTATCATTGAAAGTTGGGCAAAACTGCCGCCCGTGGTTACGAAAGAAATCCTTCACTCAATAAAATTGCCCCACAAAAATTCAGAATCTTACCCTGTCAAAAGAACAACGTCGAACATTGTGAAGTCTCACCCGCAAATTTGCTTGATCAATGGAGGAAGATTATTGTACTCAAAAAAGCTAGAACTAAATAGGTACGATGCTAGAACAGCTGGACTTCCAGTGTAGCTTTCTAGAAATCCTCATTTTCGAAATTTTCCCTATTCGTTTCTCATTAACTTGACATTGTGACTGAGACTGTGGTATTCTGGACTTACTCCTCAATTCAAGATCTGCCCGACAGTTTCAGCCACCACGTGGAGAAAAAATACTGAACAAATACAAATATATGTTTGATTACGTAAATGATGAGTAGAATTGATGGTACAAGATGACTGAAAGAGCTTCATATAAGCTAGGACAGCCTATTTAGTTCTGATAATTTTCAAAATTAGATTTTCATCCTTTAAGACACTTCACCCAGGTGTGAACAAGAAAAGGAAGAGAGACCGCTCGACCAGCCATGCGTGATTGTACAAGAGAAACGTGAGAAATCAGACGAGCGCGATCAGGCGACACGATACGCTTACTATGCATACGCGCCTACATTATATTTTAAAGGCGCTCGTTCTTGAAAAAAAAACTCGATAAGACAAAAACCATACGATTCGCATTCAGAAGTACTTTGACTCACGTCTAAGTGGTGCTCAACAAAACCCGACTTCTTAGTTTCACGAAGGTTTTATGGACAACTATAGAAAAGAAATGGAGTCACTCTACAACTATGTGAAACATGTATGAAGAGAAAAGCGATGCGCGCGTCTGGCAGCATTTACGTTTCTTTATAAGAATATTTGATGATGAAAGTCTCCAACAGAGCTATTTTAATGCACCCAAACTATAATAAAGGGAAAATGCTTATGAACACACCTGCATATTACCAATAAATATGTGAGCTAGAAGCCTATACAAGTCTTTTTGTTCTTCCGCGAAATAACAAGCAGCTGCGGAGTCTCGGTTGAAGTTTATCTAGAAAGTTACATATGAACATATTCAACAAAGTGACATCATAAATAGGGTGGATTTGTCAGCGCAAAGTTGATTTGCTAGCAATGACTCGTTATGACACTGAATTCGGCCGATGTTACGTCAGTTAATGCGTTCTGGCAGTTTTTCTACCATGTCAGAATCGTAAGCCTCACAATCTCGATAACAAATTCCAGTACAGCATGTAAGATGGGTGTCAGACTCGGCTACTGTGCAATGGCGACGGCTACGGCACTGTCACTGTGCCTTTTTTCCATTAATTCCTTTTATCAGATAGAAATGTAGAGCCATGGATAAGCGACAAAATAGTGCAAATCAAAGATGGGAAGTATTTCGCAAACGGACCCATTCCAAAAGATGGGGAAGAACATTTTTATGCGGGCACTCGAAAAAAGCTCAGTATGCCCACTCCAACATTATCAAATTTTCATCACCATTTTTCGAGAAACAGTTTCACGCTTCCAATAAACTGTAGTAAGCAAGTAAGTGAAAAAGAAACTATAAGGCACTTCAAGGAAGCGAATTAGGGATTACTGCTCATTTCCAAACATTCCTCGACAAGCAGTGGAGGAGAAGCGCACTTATTTAGGAACTCAAAATGAACGAACTCGAACGGAAGTCTTTTAAAAGCCAGCAACGAAAATTCCTGTCGTTATTAGATAAAACAATTTTATGATATTGATTTTGACTTGTTTTTGACTGCTGACTGCGGTTTTTTGGACGCGATTCGCCATGCGACATTCATCACATGTTGGGATACGAGCAAATTTTTTGCCCCAGGCTTGAAGAACCCGCACCACTCGCTTTACGGGCAGTAATCAGAATTGAAAAAAAAACTATCTGCCGAAGAATTCATTCTCGCGGTTCACTGAAGATGCCGGTTAACCAGCTGTGAGCGCTACCATACCATCGAAAAAGTTGGTTAGGGAGAGGTGACCTGGTGGTGCGATCCAGAATACTCTTTAATTCAACATTGATTTGCAAATAAAGCAGAATAATCAATTGCAAACCTGGTGCTTGTTGAACACATTCTTCGTAGCAATAGCCATGTATTCGTCAGCGCTCTTTCTATTCTGATAGATTCTCATTATTCGTAACTGATGCATCCGGATCAATGTGATAATCACCAGTACGATCG